GCCAATTTTCAGCCAAATCGGGATGGCCCGGTCATGGGCGGTAAGAACTTTAGAGGGTTCTATCTCGAGAATGGTCAATATTTCCACCCTAGAGACCATGATTTTCGGAATCAGCGTGCTGAGAAAGCTCTGTGAGCCAAATTTCAGCTAAATCGGGATGGCCCGTTTCTCGCTGCTGGACTCGCTGCGAGGGTTCTATCTCGAGAACGGTCAATATTTCCACCCAAGAGACCATGATTTTCGGAATCAGCGTGCTGAGAAGGCTCTGTGAGCCAATTTTCAGCCAAATCGGGATGGCCCGTTTCTCGCTGCTGGACTCGCTGCGAGGGTTCTATCTCGAGAACGGTCAATATTTCCACCCAAGAGACCATGATTTTCGGAATCAGCGTGCTGAGGAGGCTCTGTGAGCCAATTTTCAGCCAAATCGGGATGGCCCGGTCATGGGCGGTAAGAACTTTAGAGGGTTCTATCTCGAGAATGGTCAATATTTCCACCCTAGAGACCATGATTTTCGGAATCAGCGTGCTGAGAAGGCTCTGTGAGCCAAATTTCAGCTAAATCGGGATGGCCCGTTTCTCGCTGCTGGACTCGCTTCGAGGGTTCTATCTCGAGAACGGTCAATATTTCCACCCTAGATACCATGATTTTCGGAATCAGCGTGCTGAGAAGGCTCTGTGAGCCAATTTTCAGCCAAATCGGGATGGCCCGGTCATGGGCGGTAAGAACTTTAGAGGGTTCTATCTCGAGAACGGTCAATATTTTCACCCTAGAGACCATGATTTTCGGAATCAGCGTGCTGAGAAGGCTCTGTGAGCCAAATTTCAGCTAAATCGGGATGGCCCGTTTCTCGCTGCTGGACTCGCTGCGAGGGTTCTATCTCGAGAACGGTCAATATTTCCACCCTAGAGACCATGATTTTCGGAATCAGCGTGCTGAGAAGGCTCTGTGAGCCAATTTTCAGCCAAATCGGGATGGCCCGGTCATGGGCGGTAAGAACTTTAGAGGGTTCTATCTCGAGAATGGTCAATATTTCCACCCTAGAGACCATGATTTTCGGAATCAGCGTGCTGAGAAGGCTCTGTGAGCCAAATTTCAGCTAAATCGGGATGGCCCGTTTCTCGCTGCTGGACTCGCTGCGAGGGTTCTATCTCGAGAACGGTCAATATTTCCATCCTAGAGACCATGATTTTCGGAATCAGCGTGCTGAGAAGGCTCTGTGAGCCAATTTTCAGCCAAATCGGGATGGCCCGGTCATGGGCGGTAAGAACTTTCGAGGGTTCTATCTCGAGAATGGTCAATATTTCCATCCTAGAGACCATGATTTTCGGAATCAGCGTGCTGAGAAGGCTCTGTGAGCCAAATTTCAGCTAAATCGGGATGGCCCGTTTTTCGCTGCTGGACTCGCTGCGAGGGTTCTATCTCGAGAACGGTCAATATTTCCACCCAAGAGACCATGATTTTCGGAATCAGCGTGCTGAGGAGGCTCTGTGAGCCAATTTTCAGCCAAATCGGGATGGCCCGGTCATGGGTGGTAAGAACTTTAGAGGGTTCTATCTCGAGAACGGTCAATATTTACACCTTTGAGACCATGATTTTCAATATCACCGTGCTGAGAAGGCTCTGTGAGCCAATTTTCAGCCAAATCGGGATGGCCCGGTCATGGGTGGTAAGAACTTTAGAGGGTTCTATCTCGAGAACGGTCAATATTTCCACCCTAGAGACCATGATTTTTGGAATCAGTGTGCTGAGAAGGCTCTGTGAGCCAAATTTCAGCTAGATCGGGATGGCCCGTTTCTCGCTGCTGGACTCGCTGCGAGGGTTCTATCTCGAGAACGGTCAATATTTCCACCCTAGATACCATGATTTTCGGAATCAGCGTGCTGAGAAGGCGCTGTGAGCCAATTTTCAGCCAAATCGGGATGGCCCGGTCATGGGCGGTAAGAACTTTAGAGGGTTCTATCTCGAGAACGGTCAATATTTCCACCCTAGAGACCATGATTTTCGGAATCAGCGTGCTGAGAAGGCTCTGTGAGCCAAATTTCAGCTAAATCGGGATGGCCCGTTTCTCGCTGCTGGACTCGCTGCGCGGGTTCTATCTCGAGAACGGTCAATATTTCCACCCTAGAGACCATGATTTTCGGAATCAGCGTGCTGAGAAGGCTCTGTGAGCCTATTTTCAGCCAAATCGGGATGGCCCGGTCATGGGCGGTAAGAACTTTAGAGGGTTCTATCTCGAGAACGGTCAATATTTCCACCCTAGAGACCATGATTTTCGGAATCAGCGTGCTGAGAAGGCTCTGTGAGCCAAATTTCAGCTAAATCGGGATGGCCCGTTTCTCGCTGCTGGACTCGCTGCGAGGGTTCTATCTCGAGAACGGTCAATATTTCCACCCTAGAGACCATGATTTTCGGAATCAGCGTGCTGAGAAGGCTCTGTGAGCCTATTTTCAGCCAAATCGGGATGGCCCGGTCATGGGCGGTAAGAACTTTAGAGGGTTCTATCTCGAGAACGGTCAATATTTCCACCCTAGAGACCATGATTTTCGGAATCAGCGTGCTGAGAAGGCTCTGTGAGCCAAATTTCAGCTAAATCGGGATGGCCCGTTTCTCGCTGCTGGACTCGCTGCGAGGGTTCTATCTCGAGAACGGTCAATATTTCCACCCTAGAGACCATGATTTTCGGAATCAGCGTGCTGAGAAGGCTCTGTGAGCCTATTTTCAGCCAAATCGGGATGGCCCGGTCATGGGCGGTAAGAACTTTAGAGGGTTCTATCTCGAGAACGGTCAATATTTCCACCCTAGAGACCATGATTTTCGGAATCAGCGTGCTGAGAAGGCTCTGTGAGCCAAATTTCAGCTAAATCGGGATGGCCCGTTTCTCGCTGCTGGACTCGCTGCGAGGGTTCTATCTCGAGAACGGTCAATATTTCCACCCAAGAGACCATGATTTTCGGAATCAGCGTGCTGAGGAGGCTCTGTGAGCCAATTTTCAGCCAAATCGGGATGGCCCGGTCATGGGTGGTAAGAACTTTAGAGGGTTCTATCTCGAGAACGGTCAATATTTACACCTTTGAGACCATGATTTTCGGAATCAGCGTGCTGAGAAGGCTCTGTGAGCCAAATTTCAGCTAAATCGGGATGGCCCGTTTCTCGCTGCTGGACTCGCTGCGAGGGTTCTATCTCGAGAACGGTCAATATTTCCACCCTAGAGACCATGATTTTCGGAATCAGCGTGCTGAGAAGGCTCTGTGAGCCTATTTTCAGCCAAATCGGGATGGCCCGGTCATGGGCGGTAAGAACTTTAGAGGGTTCTATCTTGAGAACGGTCAATATTTCCACCCTAGAGACCATGATTTTCGGAATCAGCGTGCTGAGAAAGCTCTGTGAGCCAAATTTCAGCTAAATCGGGATGGCCCGTTTCTCGCTGCTGGACTCGCTGCGAGGGTTCTATCTCGAGAACGGTCAATATTTCCACCCTAGAGACCATGATTTTCGGAATCAGCGTGCTGAGAAGGCTCTGTGAGCCTATTTTCAGCCAAATCGGGATGGCCCGGTCATGGGCGGTAAGAACTTTAGAGGGTTCTATCTCGAGAACGGTCAATATTTCCACCCTAGAGACCATGATTTTCGGAATCAGCGTGCTGAGAAGGCTCTGTGAGCCAAATTTCAGCTAAATCGGGATGGCCCGTTTCTCGCTGCTGGACTCGCTGCGAGGGTTCTATCTCGAGAACGGTCAATATTTCCACCCTAGAGACCATGATTTTCGGAATCAGCGTGCTGAGAAGGCTCTGTGAGCCTATTTTCAGCCAAATCGGGATGGCCCGGTCATGGGCGGTAAGAACTTTAGAGGGTTCTATCTCGAGAACGGTCAATATTTCCACCCTAGAGACCATGATTTTCGGAATCAGCGTGCTGAGAAGGCTCTGTGAGCCAAATTTCAGCTAAATCGGGATGGCCCGTTTCTCGCTGCTGGACTCGCTGCGAGGGTTCTATCTCGAGAACGGTCAATATTTCCACCCAAGAGACCATGATTTTCGGAATCAGCGTGCTGAGGAGGCTCTGTGAGCCAATTTTCAGCCAAATCGGGATGGCCCGGTCATGGGTGGTAAGAACTTTAGAGGGTTCTATCTCGAGAACGGTCAATATTTACACCTTTGAGACCATGATTTTCGGAATCAGCGTGCTGAGAAGGCTCTGTGAGCCAAATTTCAGCTAAATCGGGATGGCCCGTTTCTCGCTGCTGGACTCGCTGCGAGGGTTCTATCTCGAGAACGGTCAATATTTCCACCCTAGAGACCATGATTTTCGGAATCAGCGTGCTGAGAAGGCTCTGTGAGCCTATTTTCAGCCAAATCGGGATGGCCCGGTCATGGGCGGTAAGAACTTTAGAGGGTTCTATCTTGAGAACGGTCAATATTTCCACCCTAGAGACCATGATTTTCGGAATCAGCGTGCTGAGAAAGCTCTGTGAGCCAAATTTCAGCTAAATCGGGATGGCCCGTTTCTCGCTGCTGGACTCGCTGCGAGGGTTCTATCTCGAGAACTGTCAATATTTCCACCCTAGAGACCATGATTTTCGGAATCAGCGTGCTGAGAAGGCTCTGTGAGCCAATTTTCAGCCAAATCGGGATGGCCCGGTCATGGGTGGTAAGAACTTTAGAGGGTTCTATCTCGAGAACGGTCAATATTTCCACCCTTGAGACCATGATTTTCGGAATCACCGTGCTGAGAAGGCTCTGTGAGCCAATTTTTTGCCAAATCGGGATGGCCCGGTCATGGGTGGTAAGAACTTTAGAGGGTTCTATCTCGAGAACGGTCAATATTTCCACCCTAGAGACCATGATTTTCGGAATCAGCGTGCTGAGAAGGCTCTGTGAGCCAATTTTCAGCCAAATCGGGATGGCCCGGTCATGGATGGTAAGAACTTTAGAGGGTTCTATCTCGAGAATGGTCAATATTTCCACCCTAGAGACCATGATTTTCGGAATCAGCGTGCTGAGAAGGCTCTGTGAGCCAATTTTCAGCCAAATCGGGATGGCCCGTTTCTCGCTGCTGGACTCGCTGCTCGCTGCTCGCTGCTAGTTTGACAGACGTTGCCAAAACTGCCGTCACAGCAGAAATGTTTTTTTTTTCTCGATTGCAATTGTGGAATTATTTATTAAACAGAAGATTATCTTTCCGAAAAACCGACTGATTTCATACACAGATGCATGGAAAATAAAAAAATCCCGGTAAGTTTATTTGTATTGTTTTGTCGATTTTGACATGCTCCTAGTTTGCAGCCATATTTCGATATGTTCTACAGGGAGTTCAGAATTATTTCAGGACCAATCTTTTCCTCATTCATTTTCCCGTCGATCATGAAATTTTTAGAGCGGAACAATTAGTTTCCAGGCGGTCCGAGCGGTTTTCGTGAGAAGGGTGCAAAAATCGGCGTCATTTTTAGAGCCTCGACACCAGCTCAACACAGGACCCTATGGGAGACGGTGAAGTAGCGGGAGCAATAAATAGAGCGCTCTAATTTTAGCTTATTTCCCTGGTGTGTCACCGACTGTATTGGATGTGCTTTGGCAGACATGACACAGGACAAACTGAACCTGCATCTGTTTTTTCAGGTTTACATAAGCAACAGCCAATAGTTATGTGGATTTTTGGATATGGCTCTCTGATCTGGAAAGTTGACTTCCCATATAAGACAAAAGAGATTGGATATATCAAAGGCTATGTGAGACGATTTTGGCAAGCGTCAATCGACCACAGAGGCACACCAGAAAAGGTAATAATCATCTTCATCTCAATATCAATCTTTCATGAAGCAAAATATTTGATGCTGGTACATGATTGATGATGATGCTGGCAGTGCCACTTAATGCTTTAGATTGTGATATTTTTCACCATCATTAAACTTAGGTTCGACCAAACCTAAAATGATTATGGATTGCAGCATTTTCTTACTATTTTGGTTGGTGTGGTAGGGCTATTGTATCTTGCTACCCTCTGTTGCAGCCTGGACGTGTTGCCACATTGGTACCCTCAGAAGACCCAGAGGTAAGCCACGTACTATCACTCTCTTCTCAGTTATCAATCCCACTAAGCTGACCACTATTGCATGTGTTCAATTAATTAGATAGAAGCCTTTCATCACATTATTGTAAAAAGAAACAGACCAAGCCACCCTGCAGGGCTATTCCAATTCTTCCTTTTCCTTTTCAAAGAGCATTCCTTTTCAACACACATAAATACTGTTCTGTTTGAGTCGACATTACTGTCACCTTTGACTTGCTCCTCTCCCATACTGGGTTCTGCGTCCCATGTAACCCCCTGGTTCCGCCTTATGATCTTGGTAACCGATGTCACCTCCGTTCCCTCCCGTCTCGCGTGCCCCCGCTCCGACCGTGCGCGACCGGCGCGCCACGTCTGTTCCAGTCCCGCGTCTGGGGCGTTGCCTATGAGCTGGACGAGCACCACCCGGACGCCGCTGCGGCGCGAGACCGCCTCACCCACCGCGAGCGGTGGTTCGAGCAGCGCCGGGTGCCTTTCTGGTGCGCCACGTTCACCGAAGACGCGTCAGACTCGCCTCCGGCGCAGCAGTCATTGGTCCTTCCCCAGTGGGAGGTGGAGTTGTTCATAGCCACCTCGGAGGGACCCAACTTCTTGGGCGCGGCGCCGCCAGAGCAGCTGGCCAGGGAGATTGTGGAGCCGCACGGACCGTCCGGCAAGGCGCTGGAATATTTCCAGCGGGTACTGGAGTTCCAGCGAGGTCTGGGGCACGAGGCGCGGGATGAGCACCTGGAAATACTGGCACCGCTGGTGGAGCGGGCGGCAGCAGAGCTGGCGGAGAAGGAAGTCTGTCTGGAGCGAGACACGGTGTGAATAGATCATAAACTCCGAACGGACTGTGCAAATGGTGCAGTGGGGAAAGGTGGTCGGTCTTGAGTGTCGCCTGTTGTATTTTACTGACGTGTATGAGTTTCGTTCAATCATTGATAGTGCGTCGAATGATAGTCGTTATGAATGTCCAACGGCGTTATAGGGGCATGTTTTTAATGTCGATTATACCTTTTCGTTTCAAACTGTAACGAAGAGTTATGTAATGAACGAATTGTCTTTAGGCCATTTTAATGTGTGATGGAGGAGACTTTGAATATATATTTACTATGCTGATTGGAAAAGTCCGAAAGCCTTGTGAGCGGGGTCTCACGCATTGGGGTATGTAGTGTTTCGGAGGGCAAGTACCCACCTCATGTATGCCCAGAAGACAGATGTAGTCAACTTTTTTACTTTACGGTGCTGAATTGTATGGCATTGAACAGGAACGAGCTACTCGTCTCTCACCCGCCCGTTAGAAAATGTTACCGTAATATCGGACGTGAATGTACCCACAATACATACGCTAATCCGTAATACATCTGGATGTTTGATTGATTTGCCGACTCTTTACTGCCCGACCTACAGCTGATGGCCCATGCCCCATGGGTTGCTGACCAATGTACTCATCCCTCTCCAACGGGTGACCTCACCGCACCCTCTCACCCTCTCACCCTTTTACCTCACCCCCTCCCCGTTCCGTCGCTCAGGCGCGAGTCTGGGGCGTGGCCTACGAGATCCCGGCGGACGAAGTGGAGGCCACGATCTCCCACCTGGACTTCCGCGAGCGGTGCGGCTACGAGCGGCGCTCGGTGGCGTTTCACCCGCAGGACGAGCGCCGTCCGCCGCACCGGCTCACCATCTATGTCGGGACGGAGGATAACCCGTACTTCACCGGCCCGACCAGCGAGGAGGAGCTGGCAGCGGTCAGTTGTGGCTCGAGGGGGGAGAGGTGTCCATGTGTTGTGGTGTGGTTGATGAGGTATTGGCAGTGGGAGGTAGGAGGGGATTTGGGGTTGAAGTATTGGGAAGATTTTCAGGCTTATGCATAGAATAATGAAGCATGACAACTGCTTACAGACACACTATCTCGGTTTTAATGCGACGTTTTCTTCGTCTTATTTTTTCTTCCTTAACACATTTCAAATACTGCAGCTGTTGATCTCCTGTTACAACGCTTGGGTTATATTTATTCACAGAATGGTATCATCGCATCATTGAAGGGAGAGGGAATCGCATGCGGCGCGTTATTTGACCCAAGCTTCCGAACTCGTCCACCAGGTGGTGGTGGAGGCGCGTGGCATGGCCGGCCCCAACACGGAATACATCTACAACCTGGCTGAGGCCGTGCGAACCACCATGCCGCACGTGAAGGAGAGCCACCTCTTCATCCTGGAGGAGGCCGTCCGTAAGAGGGAGCTCCAGGCGAAGGTCGCCTCGTGATATCGGCGTTATGATAGTCCGACGTCCGCTCGTCTTGTATGAGCGGCGATGTTGGCGGTTTCCATGGCTACGCAGTGGCTGTCATGACTACATCTCTTGGAGTGGTGTTCGAACGCGGAGCTCAGGGGTTTTAGATTGAATTATGCATGGCGATTAGCGAAGAGATTGTCACTTCGATGCTCGAAAGTACTGGCTGCCATTCTGTTGGTGGAGACAAGATCGTGAGTTTTATGTGATCTCGGAGTGCAAATCCTTGTGCAATATTGTAGCTAGTTGGATCTTATGCGCTTGTCTATTTGTGTTGCCGAATGCAAATATCCTCTACCTCTATTTAATGTCAACTGATCTTTTATTTGGGGCTAACCATTGATTCCCGTGACACTTGCTCTATATTTTACCGTCCCCGATTGGTGTTATTTTTTTCACTTTGCTTCCGGGCACTTTTCCGTCGAAATCACCGTTTTGTGCAGACATTTGTAGTCCTATAAATGTTGTTTATAAATATTATTGGTGAAATTCACATTCTACGTAATAAATATGGCATATTGCCTATTTCATGAACTTCTTTCGTATCACAACCGACACTTTCATGAGACGATGTTCTTGAATGATATATGTATTTCTATAATATTTTTCTTTTGATGATATGTAGATCAAACATCAGTATCTTTATGTGTATATAGTTATTGGGGATTTGGCCGATTTTATGGCAGATTCCGGAAATAAGTGTTTATAATGTGCATCACCAGGATGTCGATATTAATTGTTGTTTGCCACCTCAGCAAACGGACCGTTTATTAGTGAGCCCTTTTTGACTTCTGAATTCTCAGTAAGCCCAAACTCGTATTGATTGGGCCGTAACGGGTTCATTCCGTTTAGCCGACCGACGGGCCGGGGTCGGTGACGGGGCCGATCGGTGATGAGAGTGAAGCAATCGGTCATATCCGCCGACCGGACCGGCGTAGGGCAGAGTCAGAGACAGAGAGTAAGGGCTGGGGAGCCCGGTCATAAACGGGCATTGCTATACTGAACTACTACCGACGCATCTGAATATCTGAACTCGGTACTGGCTGACCATATTCTCACTCCCCAATGATTCCCAGTTCCCCTCTTTTCCTCTCTTTTTTATTAAGGCCATTCGTTAATGCCTTCCGCGCCGCGGTAAGACATTACCCGATTATAACATACCGGCTTTAGCCAGCCTCTTCCAGCTCCGAAGAACAGAAACGGACCACTGACCAGAAGAACCGATGCTAATGGTATAATCTGACTGAGTCGTTGAAGAACCAAGAAAGTAAACAAAGAAACAAACAAACAAACAAACAACTGGACGCATCGAAGTACAGGTGTGTGCTTCGCCGTGAAGACTAATAAGGCGGATTGTTTGTTACGTTTTAATGTGCTTTTTTAAATGGTGATTGAACTGGGTGGGACTGTTTAACATGCGCGTTTTCGTAATGCTAAACACGAGGTTTTCATGTTTTGTCTTCCATAGTGCATACTGCATGGGGTTGATGGAATCGTGCTAAGTGTGCTCCTATTATGATGACGACTAGCCATCCGAGGAATATCTGCCAGTCGCCGCATTCGAGTGAATAATTCAAACACCGATGTGAATTGCACTCGCCACATGCATCTTACGCCAGCATTTTTATTTCCTATCCTCAGATGGCGCCTGGCAACAGCGTCGTCTCGCACTGGAAGACGTCCGGGTGACTGGTTTTTCGCGCCGGCCGGAGCCCCGTGCCCCTGTTTTTGTTCAGCCGCCGACCCTGTTTTGTTGACATGGCCCGGACTCGATAATCGGACACCCTCCGTCACCGACTCCACGGGGCCGGACGCTCGCTATCTGTCCGTTTAGCGAGTGACTCGTGGCGGAGGGGCCCGGCGCGGAGAGGGAGCGCGCTCGGCCGCGCTGGGCGGCTCGCGTCAGTCGCCGGGAGCCGAGGGACCAGGGGAGCACGGGGCGCCGAGAGGTCCGTGCGCGTGCCCCGGACAACGCTGCGGGAAGACACGATAAGCTAGGTGAGTACTGACGGGAGTTGGGGATGGTGATCGTGTGTGGACTGGTGGATTTTGCCGGGCCTGGGGAGGGCTATGAGATAGATGCTAATTTTATTTCACGGGCTTCCGTTTGCGGTTCAAATTTCGATCATGGCGATTTAGACGCCGGCGAAACGGTTTTGAGAAATTTTAGCCTCCCAACCGAACCTGAACCCGGCATCTGTCCACTGTTGTGTAATATGTGCAGGCGGTATTTGAGTGCGAGCTCGATCCATCCATGTGATTCTTCATGGTGTTTTCACTTTCACCGTCGTCTGCCGGGCGCCTTTTGGTAAACGTTTGATTGAATGTTGACGCCCACTGGGCTGATGTTCAGTATGAAATCAGAATTCGAGCACCGTCTGTTGCATCCCATGACAGTGCCATCGCGGTGACCATGAACTCGAAAAACATCCGTCACGCGCGTCCCGTCTACCGGTGGGCGGCGTCTACCCGTCTGCCCGGGTCCAAGGTCATCGGTCTGGTCCGCCCGATCGACAACTTTTCGGCGTTCACCTTGAAGGAGCGTCATGACAGTGAACCTCGCCGCCAGTTTTTCTAGATTTCGTTCCACCTCGTGAACACATGGTCTCTCAAACATCCCACACCGATCAGAGATCGAAGCGCTTAGCTGATGACGAGGCACGTGAACTTTGACGATCGACACCACCTTTGTCCACCAACCGGCAGTCTCAGCTGACACACGACACAGAGTGTGTTTGTACGGAACGCCATGTCGTTCAGGACATGGGACGCCATGACTGGACTCCAGCGAGGTCTAGCGCCTATCGCGGCCCCCAGCCTCCAGACCAAACAAAAACTGGTCACGCGTCTGTCGCTAGGCGCGTCCGGCCGAACAGGTCACGTGGTAGACTCTGTCAGACAGATACGTCGCCGTTGTCTGAGACTTGCAGATAGTCCGCGCGTGTTGAGTCGCACTCTTGACTCTGACGACGGCTGGGGTTTACCCGGGTTCATTTGGGTGGTTGTGTTTTGCTTAGGTTTTGCTCGTCCTATGCGTATTGGCATTCTGATTTTATTCGTTCCGAAGTCGAACTAGCATGGTGGAAAATGAAGGCTGAGATCGAGTGACACTGAATGTTGCATGTTGTTGTCTGAATGTTGCATCTACCGTAGGTAATAGGTATACCTAATTCTACACTTAGAGAAGAACATTGCAACACTTCAGCGATTGCCTGACCCTGGTGTTCAATCAGGGGCGTAGGCAGGGGGGGCCACTGGGCCATGGCCCCCCCTTGGGCGCCGAAGGCGCCCTCCAATCGCAAATGCAATTGTGATATAATCGAATCGAAAAACAATCGCGACTGGAGGGCGCCCTCCAATCGCGAATGTGTTTACAGGGAAAATACGGATGGAGGGCGCCCTCGGAGGACGCCCATTCCAAATACGCCCTCCAAATACGGTTGGAGGGCTCCCTCGGGCGCCCTCCAACCACATTTGTAGGCTGTAGCTCTCTAAGCGTAACGGTGGTCGCCTATGTAAGCCGCTGTCGTGTAAATAAGCGCCCTCTCACCCGAAGGCGCCCTCCTGTAGGTTTCCACCCTGCTACACATTGCCGCCCTTCTGCTGATCGGCGTCCTCATAATTATTGGCGCTCTCCTACCTATTGCGCCCTCATGTGAAATTTTGAAGGCCGCCTTTCTCCCTTTTGGCACCCTCTTGTTCAGTGCCGCCCTCCTACCTATTGGTTCCCTAGTCCTTCCTGTTGAATGTTAATCGGGGCCCTTCTCCTATTGGCGCCCTCGTGTAGATCGCCGCCCTCCTAACCACTGGCACCCTCCTGTTGATCACCGCCCTCCTATCCACTGGCACCTTCCTGTTGACCAGCGCCCTCCGCACAGACGCCCTCCTGTTCGTGTCATCCTCTTGAGCAAAGGCGCCCTCCTCACCATTGCCACCCCCATTTTAATCGTCACCCTTCCGCTCATTGGCGACTTCCAGTTGATGACCGCCCTCCCACCTATTGGCGACCTCTTGTTGATCGCCACCCTCCTATTGGTGCTCTCCTGTTCCTCGCCACCCTCTTACCTGGTGGCGCCCTCCTGTTGATTGTTGATCGGCGCCCTCCTACCTATTGGTGCCCTCCTGTTGATCGCTGCCCTTCTATCCATTGGCGCCCTCCTGCTGCTCACCAACTTCCTACCTATCGGTGCCCTACACACAGAAAAATATTAACACCGTTAGCGGTGTAATTGCACAGTACATATCTGAGCACTTGAGGAAAATTAATTTAGTCCCTTCCCCGCTTAAATTACTCGCGCTTCTAAATGAACACCAGGAAGAAGGTAATAGAACACTGTTAGGAGGGTTGAGTGTTTTGCTACATGTAGTAAAACACCCAACCCTCCTAACAGTGTTCTATTACCTTCTTCCTGGTGTTCATTTGGAAGCGCGAGTAATTTAAGCGGGGAAGGGACTAAATTAACTTTCCTCAAGTGCTCAGATATGTACTGTGCAATTACACCGCTAACGGTGTCAATATTTTTCTGTGTGTACTGTCGAAACTCGGGATGTTGATCGGGGCTCTTCTACCTATTAGTGCCCTCCTGTGGATCGCAGCCCTTCTACCTATTGGCAACATCCGTTGATCGCTGCCCTCCTATCATTTATTTACTCCTTTGGCATGTTTTTCAACTTAGTCGTTCTATTGCACATAGTTGATGTCTTGCCTGTGAAAACTGCCACAAATGAACGTGCATTCAGCACAATGAATGAAGTATCTATACCTACCAAAACTATCTACGCTCTACGATGCATAAAACACGTCTTTGGTCTTAACGGATTGATCCTACTTTACGTGCATCATGGCATCTATATGGATTACGATTAAGTATTGTCAACAGGTTCGGGCGCAACAGCAGGCATCTGAAGTTTCGGTGATTGAAACGCGTATTTGGAATTTCCGACCTCGACGAGCGTCTGTGGTAGAAAACCACCACTTTGGTAGGGGAAACTACTGCTGTCTGCTACCGTTTGCACTGCATGTCTCGCTGTAGTTGCGACCGATTGCGACATCTATGCTTAGCGATATACGTACTTTATAATTTACGTACTTTTTCGATGCGTATTTTCTTCCTTGACGTAGGTACTTTTGTCTAGGTATACGTACTTTGTACTGTACGTACCTACCTCTGCGATACCTACGCCTACTTCCGTCCTTGACGTACTTATTCCATACGTACTTTATACTCGACGTACTTTTGAAACTGGTTATGTGGGTACACTCAAGGCTATAGAACTCCAGGTAAGGACACCAGCCGTTTGACCTTGAACGCCGCCGGCCGGCCGATGACGTCATTGGAGGCAAGCCGGCTCGGCGGACACACAGGGCGAATGCATAACGGAGGGGCGTTGGAACGTTGCGGGAGCCAGGGAGATATTTTAAAGTGGTTGCATACCACCATTGTTTGTTGCTTGATCTACAGACTGCATCCTTTTAAACCTCGATGCATCCTAGGCCTGGATGGTGCGTACATTCGTGGAACGATCACCCCGTCCGACGTCCGTGGTCGAAGCTGTCATAGTATTTAAGACACTAAGACGGGTGCAATAACGGCGACCCGATCCCGTCTCTGGCGAATTTAGAGGGGTCGTAAGGACCCAGGCCGAATCTGACCGTCTATTTTTAGGGAAACGGGGTGGGTGAATTGACAACCGATGGCTTAAGAGATAATGAGAAGGGATCCCGTCGTCGATTGTTGTTTGACAGACAACACATGTTGTACTGGGCGTATGACCATCAGAGGTAATGCCTGAACGTAGGCAAGCATAATTGGTCTGTCATATTGTTTAGGAATATAAAATGGTAATGGAGATCATTGAGGATATGATCTCTACATTACGGGAATTCACTAATTACTACGGCCCATAGGGCCACCGCCGGAGCTGTTGTTTTGCCATCGGTCCCAGGCAACTCCAGGGAGCTGCAGTACCCGGCGGCCAAAGCGGCCACCTCGTCGACTCGCAGGTCCTCTGGGATTCCGTGATGCTTTAGTGCTTCATCCACAGAAGCACGGGCATAGCAGTAGGATGTGGGGCTATGTGTCTGTCCACCTCTTCATTCAAAGAACAACGTGTACAGCTGGTGTACATACAGCGCCTGGTCCCGCCGAAGCTCGGTATCGACCGTGACTTATTCACAACTGGCGGATCCAGGAAGCGGTATTGGACACTGCGGGGGCTTACCCCAAAAAGGTTTCTCGGAATTAATTTAAAAAACTCGGATTTCGATTCCTTGCGCACTGCTGTGCGGTGTGATTAACCAACATTTCCTCAGAAAAGTTGTGAAGTTTTCATTTATTCTCGAAAATCGATTTCGGGCGCTGCCCTGGTTGTTGGGGAAGACATTTGCCCCAAATGCCTTCCCCTGGATCCGCCAGTGGCCGTTGCCCCACTCCGAGCTTGACTAAAGACGTCTTCAAACCTCACCAGAAACCGATGGTAAGGTGAATTTAACTCCAATAACTCATCTCTGTCTGCCCGCGTAAATATACTATACATGGTACAGCACCCGGCCCTGTCGGAGCTATGAGCCGATCGTGATATTTTCGGCTTTCCCCATCCCAAGCTCGATTAGAAACGTTCTCCTTCCCCACCCAATTGCTGATGTCAATTCAAATTCAATGCCTCATCTCTGTCTGCCCGACCATAACCCATTCATTGCACACCGTTCAGCGCCCGGCCCCGCCAGAAGTATCCTAGCGCGCTGAGCAGTTGCCTCCAGCCGCGTCATCGCGAGGCCCCGCGCGGCCCATAAACTAATACATTGCGCGAATAGCCGTGTCGCCCCCCTGGGTACACTATGCATCTGTGAGAAGGCTATGAAGGCTGGTCTGAGGTAATTTGGATGATGTTTACGCATCTCGCGCTCCGGTATCAATCCGATACGGTGATCTGGTGCGTAGATATGCCACCGCCAATAAACTTTTATACATCGACACCCATGAGCCAAGCTTTCTGTACAGTTTGTGTCAGGGCCTCGGCTAAGGAATTTTGACTACTGGGGCAAATCGTCAAAGTGTGTTGGCGCCCTGCTGGGGGGGCCCCCCAGCAGGGGGGGGGGGGGCCGCAGGTGTTTGAACACCTGCGGTTTTTCCTGCGGTTTTTCGCGGATATCTAAAAAACGGCGGCGCTCCATCACCCATCAATTTTACACGTGTTGTAAAAATCTCAGACCAAGGTCATTCAAGATCAGGTTACCAGGTCACTTCAAGTGACCTCACCTCATGAAATGTTTCCATGTATGCCGTAGCTACACCGAGTGACCGATCGCTTTGAAACTTTCAGCGATTGATAAGGGCAACAGCATGTACAAAATTTATATCTCGGAATTTTCATATCGGTGACCTAAGGTCGGCTCACTTTTGCGACCGATCTATTATAAGTCAATGGGAGAAATTCAAAACCACCTCTTTTGGACGAAAGTTATTCTAAACACTATAAAACACTGTACGTGACTTTGACACACTGAACATGAAAATAGCACCCGTGACCCTTTTTTATGCCCCTGAGGTCATCTCAGTTCACGAATGGTATCTAACAGTTTTTCGCGAATAACTTTTGAAAGAGGCATGCTAGAGCGATGAAAATGCCTTAGATGTGTTTGGTTAGACGATGCAGATCGACTGATATGCAACATGACAATTTCCGGTCAGATCATGACTTGAACCTGAGGTCGAATTTTCAAGTTGACCTTCAAGGTCAAATTGTAGTTAATTTGATGCGTCTTGACGAGAGGAACACGATGTCGGATAAAAGAAAGCGCTTGCATTGGGCCTTGGCTCGTGCAAAGCATGAGTCAAAAGTTATTGCAGAAAAACTGTTCCCCCAAAATCGTCTTTAGTAGTTTTTGCCCCTTGCAGGCAAAACCGTTGGCGTTAGGTCAAATCTAAGAGAAAATAACCAGAAAGCATGCTAATATGGCTATCAAATGCGCTTTTCCGCGGTGCTGTAGCTCTAATTGGTTCCCGAGTTAAGCGTCGGCATCTTGTAAACTGTCGATATTCGACCTGAAAATCGGCGAAAGTTGGCCTTCACCATGACCTGACCTTTGACCTCACCAAAAAAGTGGCTCAAGTAATTTCGTCATTATTTTTGACGCTCTTTCGAACGAAGATGGATTATGGGGTGTAAAAAGATATGCTTGCTAATGTACAGTCCACAGCAGAAGTAATGTGCGGTTTCAGTCATGGGTATGTTCTGCTTCTGAAGCTTAGGAACGATTAGTCAGACTACAATGAAACTTTGAATGTAGCTTATATGTATCGTCAGTCGTCACCCTTGCAGCTGCAATTTTAGCTATTGACATCTTCTTTTCGATCACTCCGCATTAAACAATCGCCAGTCAAAGCCAATCGTTGAGATTGGTAAAACCCTACATTACTTTAGCGGTGGGCTGTACGCCTATGTTTTTGGATGGAAATTGAGGGTGCAGCTGCACACCGTGCACTCCCTCTTCCGCCGCCCCTGATTTCTTGCCACAAACGTCTTCAACCGCTCCCGAATGAAAGAATGTACGTTAATATTGATATATTCTCATTTTGTGGAGGTTGGGCAAAGCCTGACCACTACTGGGGCATTCCTCGACTCTACTGGGGCATTTGCCCCAGTAGTTAACATGTTAGCCGAGGCCCTGGTTGTGTGGCAGCGGCCCGACCAAACCTTAGGTATTTTTTACACCTTCAAATTTGGTAAAAGAGCGAGAGGAGCTTTGAACAGTGATCGTATAAAAGGCGTGCCTAAAAAGCGGAGGAAAAGGTTGTTTTCAAAAATTTCGCGCGCCTTCGGCGCAGCATTTCAAGAACACTTGACCTTTTGTGACCTGAAGTATAAAGAATACACACGATGCAAAATCAATGCAGCACGACCTATACGAGGTTACGCAAAAAAAAAACTGGTGGCATGGTAAAAAACGCCTCCCAACCCCCCAACCCCCACTGAGCGATTTTTTATCTCGCGACCGTATGGCGCCCTCCTTGGGTGAGGTGGCGCCCTCCAAACCCTTGCCCCCCCCCCCTTCGCGATTTTCTAAATACGCCGCTGTGTTCAATTGCCGCCTTCCTTTATGTGATGCAGCGGTCAGGTCATTATAATTTGTCTGGTTATTGTGAATGTAGGGTTATTATGATTTGCAACTATCTTAGAGGTAGGTCTATATCGCTAGACCCAACGCGCGCAATCGGGGTGGCCGGGATAACAATTATCAGCGTTTATGCGATATATTTGTCCCATCGGAGTCGCGTGCGGCACCTTGCTGCTGGCGAGCATCAACATAAGAAATAATGACCCAAATGCCAGTTCAAAAGCTGTAGCCTGTAATAGATAATTCGATGATAAAACATTTCATCACTGTTGCTGCAGTGTGTGTGATTTGCTTCTTACGAACGTTCAAACGACGTATTCGGTATAGCAAGACGTTTGTAACGTAAACAGCCGGCTGTGGCCCGTGGGCAAAACATCTCGTCCGACTAGGTCAGATCAGGGCATGTAAACCAGATTACGGGTCAGACAACGTGCAGGACGAATGTTTGGTCCGAACAAGGAGCCAAGAAGTAGATTCTAGTGTGCCCACAAGTCATCTTTGATTACTGTCTACCAGACTAACGTCCCCCGTGTGGTCACAGCCACACGGGGTTGTTACAGGCTAGAGCCTGAACGTTTTTTCAGTTTTCACTTGACGTTTATTGGAGTGCTTGTGCCGATGCATGATATAGCTTCGCATCAAAAGTTATAGATAGACCAAGAACGGGCAATCTGCACTGCCAATCAGGCGCTTCGTTCAGATGAGATAATTAAACAGCAGATTGTATAGCAGGATAGCCATCTGCTTACGCCATCTGCTTATTGTCTGAACAGAGCCAAATGGCTTAAGAGCCCGTCAATAGTACGGGTGGCACTAACAAGAAGGTCCAATGAGCAGCAATTGGGTTACGCGCGGCGGGGATGCGAGGAAAGGTCACATTCATCTGAGGTAACCATGCATATCCGGTCAGAGTGCTGCGTCACTCCCACATTACATGGAATGGAATGGAGGGAAGGGACGGAGGGGGACGAGGGGTAGATGACGAGAGGAAGGCTTCAGCTGTTTTAATATGAGCCGATAAGATTCTAATATTTACCCGTAAATCTTTTCGAATTGAATAAAAACAACCATTTCTTCTACTCCTTGCCGTTTTCGTATTCACACTCCGTTTCATGGATAATGAAAAAGGTATCACTCGAGAAGCCCTACCTATATTTACGCGAGTGGTCTTGCTGTGATGAGTGATGACAATGTGATACGGCTTTGTGTGATTGATGACTTCCTTTGCAGGTGCCAGCGGGAGTTCAGTCTTCGACCGGACCGGACTGGACTTATAAACATGGCTGCGTCACGGACCCTTCTGTTCGCCGTCGGAGCCTCTCTGCTCATTTCAGGTAAATATTTGTAAAACTATGGTACAATTGACCGAATGCCCAGGGTACAACCAATATCACCAGATACAGCTAAAAGTGAGGCAACTTCTGCCGTTCGTGCCCATGAGTGTTGACCGTATATGTGTCCGTCCTTGGTAATGTCATCATCCCGGCTCCTATTCTCTGACGCTGTCCTACGACCGCCGGATGTGGCCGTTTGTTCTACTCCCGTCCCCACCGGCCTCTGCCTCCTCCCCCCCCCCGTCCGTCCTCCCGACTGTTCAGCGTTGACCCCCAGCCAGCACCACTCTGGGTACGACTCTACGACTCTACGACTCTGCACGCGTGACCCGTGACAGGATGAATCACAAGGTGCATCTGCACTAGAGTGTCAGATTGCAGGATGTATGCAAAAAGCACGGCGACGCGGAGGCGCCCCCAAAGACGATATTGTACTCGTGCAAAAACTACAAACCATTTCCCTCAAACACGTCGCTTAGTATCGTGTTCTAACGCACCATCTCATGCAAGTGACGCGCTGGGTATGTAAAAAGCTGCAATGCTTCCTTTGAACATCACGTCTGTATTGCTGACACTGCTTCCTTTGCAGCCGGCTGTGTTCTCAAGGAGAAGCGGCTGCACGCCGATCTCCTGGCTGGGTACAATCGTCAGACGCGTCCCGTGCTGAACGAATCGGACACGGTTCATCTGCAGATGGGCCTCGGCTTGATCGACTTTACCATCGTCAGTACCGCTCCAGATTTCAATGTGTTCACAATCGCATTACGAGTGGGCCTTTGTGGGTGTAAACTTGAATCATGTATTACCGTATGGTATATGGAATAGGTATCACTTGAGAAGCCCCACCAATATTTACGCGAGTGGTCCTGCTTCCTCTTCTGCAGAGCGCAGAGGTTTGATGAATGCAGCACGTAATGCGTGCATTGCGCCAATAATTGATGCTACGCAAGGTAAATCTGAAAAAAATACTTACTAAACGTGGCGTAGTGAACAATGCCCGAGAAGTTGGAACGTTTCAAATGTGCTGAGACATGCTGAGTAGGATGCTGACGGATGTTTTGTCTGTGCTCGCACACTAAGTGGCTATTTGCGCTGACCGTTGGTCCTTTGTCAGGACCCCGTCTCCGATGTCATGGAATCCCTTGTTTGGGTTCGGGCGGTGAGTACCGGGAAGCGAGCATGACTGGCACAATCCGTTGTCCTTGAGACAGATGGCAAGGACAGGCATTCTAGTTATAATTTAACTCCCATTCGTCCTTTATGATGAACCACTTAACAAATAAGCATAACCACAGATAACAGTAGTAACAGTAAGTCATCATTTTAGCTTAAAGTCCTCATTGTTTGACACAGTTTGTCCGCAGCTTTCACCTTTACGGATAAGCAATTATCTTAATAAAATCCTCCAAGTATCTCCCATAGGCCATAGCCTCATCTATATGTGTTCATTAGCCTTACGTGAGTCCCTGTGATGCCTGTCCGCAGATGTGGGTGGATGAATACCTACGGTGGGAGCCGAGCGAATACGAAGGTCTAACCAAGAGCTTCTTCAACCCCAATCAAATCTGGATGCCCGATATTTGTCTGTATAACGGGTGAGACAGGACACTTCGGCGCATGGGCGGGTTGACCGGGATGTTCGCTGATCAATAGTCTGTCTGCATCACTTCATAGCTTTAGACATTGAGACGGTATCACTTGATTGGTTCAGAATATGTCCTTGACGACAATCTGCTCTAACTCGCGGTTTTGGTAACTTTTGACGACGTTGCGACCGTTTCGGACGAACCTGTACCCGTCTCACAGAAGCCTCTCGTCTGCAGTTGGGACGCCTCGTGTCACGTGATGGCCAAGCTCTCGTCGAACGCGATCGTCGACTCGAAGGGAGGCGTGCTGATCGTGCCACCCGTACGGCTATCGCACCGCTGCGAACTCGACCGCACCAACTGGCCCCGCGATGTGGCCTCGTGTCGGCTCAAGTTTGGCTCGTGGACCTACGACGGTAACCGACTCAACGTCAGCTACTACGGCGGCAGTGCGGTGAGCGGTCGTGGGGTGGCGGCGGTGGGTAGCCAGGCGGACTGGTAACCGGGATATAGGGAGAACGAGCTAAGACGTAAACAGTAACTCACACACGGGCTGCTAAAGTAAGAAGTCGGTCCGATACATCAAAGCCCATCGCGATGGGCTAATGGTTGACTGTTTGAGTAACTGTAATGAGGGCCCATTTTTAGCGGAGCATGCCTTGTGCCTCTTCGCAGTCTTGAGCCGACACTCCTCTGCTATAGGCTGCTGCTGCGGACATCTCCGATTTGGTCCAGTCGAGTGAGTGGGAGGTGGCCAACTTCACGGCCGAGCGAGAGGTCAAGTACTACGACTGCTGCCCGGAGGCCTATCATTCCATCACGTTCATGATCACGGCGCGGAGGAACGAGCACCGCACCGCCGAGCTCTCCGTGCCCATTGTCTGTGAGTGGCAGTACCTCGTGGTTCAGCTCTGTGAGTGACCGTACCTCGTGATTCAGCTCTGTGACGGAGTGCACCTCGTGGGTCAGCTCTGTGACGAAGCACTGCCCGTAGTTAAAGGAAATAGTTCACTTTTTAACATGGGTTTTGAACTGGAATAGCAGTTCCGTAGCTTGGGCTGAGACGAGCATAAATCAGGAGCTTTTACAGCCCAACGATCACCCTAGGCAAAGATATTCTATTTCTCGTCCCGAAAAAGGTGTCTTGCGTTGAGGATGTGTGCCTTGCATATATTTCCATCCAGTATGAAAAGAGCATGGGTCCCGAAAATTCTTCAGAAACTAGAGAAATTATCTACGAGAACTCTAGAGAAATTCTCGTACTGATCAATTAGGACATTCAGGGGAACATTATCAGATCGAGCAGATCGCCCAAATGCCGGTGGCTGCGATAATTTCTCTGTTTCTGAAGAATTTTCGGGACCCATGCTCTTTTCATACTGGATCGCGTGTGCCTTACAGAAACTGAAAAGTTCTTCCTATATCAAAATAAAGAAAAAAAAATATTTTGTTATAAAAAGGTTTTATTTTCTTTGCTGATTATTTTGAACATAAAAAATAATAAATCGTTGCAAAAAAAAATAATTTCGTGAAAGTGAACTATTTCCTTTAAGCTCTGCGACAGAGGGACTGGCTGTGTCCATTGTCTTTGATAAGCACCTGTCAGGCAGGCCGCGATCAAGCTATGCGGTCGTGTTACTTTACTTCAAGCGGGATAAACCAACTACGGAAGTTGCATGCCATCGAGCTACGTTCCTGACCACGCTTCCCTGTGTATTATTTGTATAACTATTCCCGTCCAAGAAGTTTAACCGCTCGATGCTGCTCCATGAGTGGTGAGCTGACCAAACTCTCTCACTGGTCGCAGGCTCGTCGGTCCTGATGCTGCTGTCGTTCCTGATCCCGGTTCAGTCGCCCCAGAAGCTGACGTTCTGCTGGGTGAGCGTGCTCATCACCGTGCTGGGGCTCTTCAACATGTTCAGTCGGATGCCCAGTGACGCCCACGGCACTGCATCCATTGGTGAGTTGACGCCCATGGCACTAAGGCATTGCGTCCATTGGTGACAATCTTCGAGGACACTTGTAAGTTGTAATGCTGGTGACTTGCGCCAAACGCTTTTGAAGTGTGTAATGTATTTGGCTCATTGCGCATTAGTCGCTGCTCCGCTGCCTGAATAGATTTATTTACGTTGTTCTCGTAAATTGGATTTGTTGAGATATATTCAGATGGCTAAGTGTTTTCTCATCATGGTCTGCCTTGATGTATCTGAAATTTGCTTGCAAGTTTATAAGTCGTCCCGTTATCTTTTTGGTATCGTTGAACGTTCATTGTGACAAGTATGACTAGATAAGTGAAACTTTTTGAATATAAAGGTACTGTATTATAGAAAGCCTTTGCGTTTCGAGCTTCGTCTTCGTCAGTGCTAGCTTTCCATTAATACAAAGTTTCACTTATCTAGTCATTTTGGTATTTTTTTATATAGTTTTGCGCTGTACTCTTCGCTTCTTTTGCATATTCGTATTTCGCCGCTTTTCGCGGTGTTTTGCGTTGTGATTTAATACATTTCTCCAGTGTCGTTTTATGTGGCGTTTACGTAATTTTGAGCTCCGCCCGGTGCGCTGTTTTTCAGCGTCGTTTTACGTGGTGTTCGTGGTGCTGCTGCTGGTGTTCACGCTGCTGGAGGTGCTGGTGGTGCTGCTGAGCCGGCCGCGCAGCACGCCACTGCCCCGCTGTCTGCGCGCCTGTCTGTCCGGCCTGGTCGGCCGCCTGCTCTGTCTCGACACGCCCCTGTTCCACGTGAGTCGCCCACCCGTGTGAACGGTCCTTAAGCGGGTATGGGAACTGGACGGAGCGTAGGAGCTGGTCTCGCACCGGGCGGCTATTTCCTTCCTCTGCCGAGCCTGCCTTTTCAAATGTACTCGTAGCCAAGAGCTGGACTAGCGTTCATTGCGATAATCTTCCACTATGATTTAGCTGCGTAGGTACTCTTGATGTGTTTCAGCGACATTTTGAAGCTCCTGTCCATCAATTCTTCCTCTTGTACGTCTCACGATCCATTGCAGTCCCGTAAGCGCCAGCTCTTGCTCATCAACCCTTCCTCTCGTACGTCCCACGATACGATGTGGGGTTTTGTCAACCGCACCCACAGCTGCTGTCACTCTCATAGCCCGACATCCGCCCGGTGTTCCAGGACTACTCTCAGGAGGATAACGAGATGCTGGACGCGCCGCACGAGAACGGCGGCGAGATGAAGCACATGGTGAAGGACATTGGCAAGACATACGAGTGGGCGCTGCTGGCGGGAGCCGCCGACCGGCTGTGCGGCCTCGCCTTCCTCCTGATTGTGGCTGTCAGCGTGCCGCCCAGCATCACCTGGGCCTAGGGAGGCCCTACGCGGGCTGGGGGCAGCCCTACACGGGCTGGGGACGGCACTACCCCGGCTGGGAGGGGGAGGTAGTCTCACCTGGGCCCAGGGAGGCCCTGTGCGAGTTGGGGGCGGTCCTACACGGGCCTATGGCGGCCCTACATGGGTTGGGGCGACCCTGCCTGGGCCTAGGGTTGCCTTACGTGGGCTGGGAGTGACGACTACGGGGCTCAGGGAGGCGTTATACGCGTTCGGGGCGGTCCTGTGTCGGGCTGGTTTCGCTCCACACAGGTATCTTGCGGCCATTTACGGACCTAAGACGGTCCTTCGTGTTCTGGCGGATGCCTTACATCGGCCTAGGGTAGCCGTGCACGAGCTCAGGGCTGTCGTAAGTGGGTCCAGGCAGCCTTACACTAACCTAAGGTGACCCATGTGAACTTAGGGCGGTCCTGTGCATGTCTGGGTGCGCCCTGGACTGGCCTGTGGAGCGGCCCAGTAGCAAGTGCGGTACGACAGAGCGGACCCTAGACCGACGACCTACTCTGACCCAGGAATACTTCATACAGACGTAGTTGGCCTCCCCTCCCTCGCTGCTAGCTCGTGTTACGATGATCTTAATGCATATCAGTTTGACCCAAGGGCATTCCGAGGCATTATATGAACTGAGTTCTATTTCAGCGCAATGCTAGACATTTGGAGGGCTATTCGATTCTGTTTTACTTGCGGTGACTTCTGACAGTTTGTACGATAAAGTTTTGAAAAATGAATGATAGGTTGATATGTCGCTAAATACCGAAATAGTGGAAATGCTGCGAGTGAACGTAAATGTATCCGTAGCGTGTCCAGTGTCCTCTGTATTTTACTCTTGGAAAATAACATCCTGAGTGACAAAGTCGCTGGAACGAGTAGATAAAAGAGTCACCAGAATGGCCAAGATGGTTTACATTCTTACCATTTTCATATTCATTATAAACGCTGACACTATAAATATGCGGTGTTAGCTCGTTCGGATGCGTCCTCACTCATTGATAGGTCCCATGTAATAGCGTGCATGATATTATTTCGTTCCCTCACCACGTACTCATCAGGCTTAGTTGCATGCGCATGAGGTACCATAGCGTACGTTCATTGTATAGCGTTATACCAGGGTTACATCAGGGAGCACTGGCGGATCCAGGGGGGGGCATTAGGGGCATATGCCCCCCCCGACAGGAGCCTGGGGAGGGCATTCAGTACAAGTATGCCCCCCCCCCCCGTTCAGACTTACACTTCTTACGCCTATAACGAGGAACTAAATAAAAATGGTTTAGAAAGCCTTCCTAGTAACTACTTTTGTGATCAGAGTCGTTTTAGTCAGCGGCGCGAGAACTTCTTCCAGACTGGGGGGGCTGAACCATAATAGAGATCAACCTAGGGTACCCCCAAATCTAGTTTTCTCACCGGTTTTAGGCCACTTATTTTTCAGACTTTGGTCTTTTCAACAACAACAACAAAAAAAAAAACGAAAAAATGCAAAAAGTGAGTCATTCAGTCTCAGCTGAGTGAAGAAACTACCGTTCTGGCAACCTGGAGTAAAGGTTTTAATCTGTCAAATGAGTTGCCGAGCCAGTGAAAGAGGTGGATTTTTCACTTACATGCTTTCTTCCTATGTGACCCACAACCCCTAATTTGGGAAGGACAAGCTGCCCAACGGTTCCTGGCCTCATGAAAAGTTGTGTGGACCGCCCCCACGGCCGCAGAATTGTGGGGACAAGCTTCCCCCATTGCCCCCTCCCCCGGTTCCCGCGCCTATGTATGAATCTATGAAATTAGGTATGTTGGTAGATTTCCGATTTCGATTCCTCCAGCTGGGGGGGGGAGGCTCAAATACATTACGAGCCCCCCCCAGCTTTTCGGCTGGGGGGCTCAGCCCCCGCTAGTCCCCCCCTCCCGGTTCCCGTGCCACTGGTTTTAGTAACCTCAATTTAGTTGTCATTGCTTTATTTTGTCTAAAAATATGCTGCTTCTTAGTTCTAACCACAGGGAGTCATGCCGCTTCAACCCTTTTGACCGTATTGTCTAACGATGGCACTCATATTGCGCAAATCATGCAGGAATCGGCCGCCGCCTATGGTTGGGAATAGGGATGGTTAGAATATGATTTACCTGTATGGCCGCACCAGTGCAGCATAACCAGGGGGGGGGGGCACAAGGGGCGCGTGCCGCCTCATTAGATGCATGGTGCCCTATGGGCCCGAGAGACCCTGCAGTGCCAATTGGCCGCTCAGGGTCCAAGCGTGCCTTATTTCGACTGAGATAAGACCCGCAGGCCTCGTGAGGGCACCTCACAGAGTCACGGGCTCCTGAGTCACATCACACATCACACATCTCCATAAGGGCCCCACTCCGGCTTCTGAGGGCCCTGTGCTGGCCTCTGAGTGACCTTGCTGACCTATTAAGCGTCAGCTCTAATTAGGGTCCTGGCCCATACCCGCATGGAACGGCTCCACAGTTCCACACCAGTGTCTCTGAGGGCCCATAACGGCGCCTGTGAGGGTCTTACACCAGCGCCTTTGAGGGCCCAACACCGCCAATCTGAGGGACTAACACCAATATTTCTCAAGGCCCTACTTCGGCGGCGGCTCTGAGGGCCCCACACTGGCGCCTCTGAAGGTCTTTCACAGGCGCATCTGACGGCTACCTACCTGCACTCTGTGGGCCCCACACTGGTGAGTCTGAGGGCTCCCAGTGACGCCTGAGAGTACCACGCCGGTCTCCAGAATCCCGCAAGGCTCCTGAAACCCTCTGCTGGCCCTTGCTGGTCTCTTGAAGACCCCTTGCCCCCATGCATGTGTCTCTGAGGAGTGAGGACTCCCACAACGATGCCTTTGAAAGTCTTCACCGGCGACTGTGAGGGCACCACACAGACGCGTCTGAGGGCCTTACACCGCCACCTCTGAGACACCAGTGTCTCCTGAGGCCCACATCGGCGACTCTCAGGGTCCCACACCGGCGCCTCTGGGGCCTCACACCAGTGCCTCTGGCAGCCAGCCACCGGTAACTCTGTAGGTCCTACACCGGTGACTATGAGGGCCCCACCGGCGTCTGAGAGTACCATGCCGATCTCTAAGGATTCCACAGGGCTCCTGAAGACACTTGCCGGCCTGTGAAGGCCCATTGTTGACATCATACGGCCTGTTACCGGCCTCTGAGGGCCCTTTGTCGGTCTCTGAGAGGTCCTACTGGGTTATTAAGCATTCGCATTTCGCACCAACAACTCCAAGGGCCCCACATGCAGCCATCTGTGAATGGTGTGGGCTTAGCGCCACACCAGTGTCTGAGGCACCACAACGACGTCCATGTGAGGGCCTCACACCAGCACCTTAGAGGGCCCACACGGGCTCCTTTGTGGTTCCTGCGCCAGTGCCTCTGAGGGCCCCACACCACTGCCTCTGGGGAACCCACACCGATACCTTTGATGGTCCCACGCTAGCACCTCTTAAGGTTCCACACCGGCGGCCCTGGGTCGGCTCTATACACCAGTCATTCTGAGGGGCTGAGGGCCCCAACGGCCCCACCAATTTTCGTCGATTTCTGGCGCTGCCCGGGTATTTGTCCCAAATGCCTCCTCCTGGATCTGCCAATGGGGGTCAGGTGTCATACCATTTCTGTTTTTTTTTTTTAGAAAAAAAAACTCGTGTCAGGGCTATGACGAAAAATAAGTGGCCTAAATCCGATGAGAAAACAGGATTTGGGGGTACCCTAGGTTTGGCTCCGTGACCTGGTATGCCCCCCCCGCGCTGAACCCCTGGATCCGCCAGTGTCAGGGAGACAGACTCTGCGACGCGTCCGAAAAGTAACTCGCATGTTAGACACTAACGACATTGCTACGAAGAACATCAAGGATAGGGCTAGCTCAGTTATTTTTCCCGCTGTTTAACTACGTTGGTTGTGTTCTGTAGTTTCCAGGAACTTCACTAACGTTGCGGCTGTATATATGGCTGGGTGTTCTGTGCCGTGACACCCCAATCGTGGTCAGGACAGGTCAGCTCACGTTGCGGCCTGTCTTTCTGTGTGAGCTGTCTTCAGCGTGTGTAGACAGTAAGCGTCCAAATGTGAAGCTGATCAATTGTACGGGACCAAGTGACTCCTTAGCCAGACGTGCTCGTGTGTACCGCTCCAATACAATACAATTCGATATAATACGGTATGATACGGTGTGCTTGAGCGGTGAAGGGAATGACGGGTTTTGATTCAAGAAACATTGAAACAAAATGCTTAGAAAGTTATCAACAATTAATTATGCGAAGTAAACTCGCACCCAAAATTTCAACTCAAGAACAAAAGCTCTGCGACGGTCGATAACTAATTATGAGTGATAACACCCAGTGTACTGAGGGACACGCCATTCCCTAATCCCTTTCGATCGTTGTCAGCAATCCAAATCGTGATCAGTTATCTCTGCAATGGCTCTCGGACAGCGCTACAAAACCGGCCTCAGATCGGGCATGCCCACGGGGCATGGGTCACGTGACCGTGCGGCGGACGCGTCTCGTCTTTCACTGTTCGTCGCCCCGGGCGAGGCGCCCGTCGCAGGTGACAGCACGCGTCGGCCGGCGGCCATAATCGGACGTCTGAAAGCATCCGGTGGTGCGTGAGGTGCTGTGAGGTGCCGTGAGATGCCTGTCTGTGGGTGCGATAGGACAAGGACGGTGCAGTAACCAAGACTTCAGTGGTGTAACAAAATTTGAGCACTTTTGTGTTGAGGAATATCTGAAACGAATCAGAATGAGAATTTAACAAAGATTGACAGAAAGGAGAACATGGCAAATTGCGAAGGTAAGTTGGCACTGCCATTTTTAAGCATGATCCTGCTTTTACTTTGAAATATTATTGACGAAGCTTGAATCGGTAACTGTGATGCGGGTTGTCCCGTATAATTTGGAATCTCTATGGCGGATGGTTCATATGTGTTAACCCTATTAGTGGCAGGCTCTTGGCTACCCCATATTAGTGGCAGGGGGGGGGGGGCTGTTTACGACCCCCCCTTGATATCTCGAGATCTAATGGGCCGATTTTCAAAATTCAAACGGCATTCGATTTCGCTCAACGTGATCTACATTTCTCAAAAATAAAAATTAAAAAATGTCAATAGGGGGGGGGGGGGTAGAGGGGGGTAAAAACGGGCAAATTGCAGATACATTTTAGACTGTTTATCACGGCCAGGTTTCTGAACCAATCTTAACGCAACTTTTGCCGATCGATAGAGAATGAACCAGGAATTCACATGGATCCTAAAAATATGCATTTTCAAAAATCATAGGCGGATACAGATCATTGAAATTGGGGGTACACAAAAAGTAAAGTAAATAAGGTTTTTGTTGGTACTGTTTCTAAAAAGGGTGGCAATGGTCTTGTTATGTTACAGTTTTCTTATGAGAAAACGACTACAATTGTATTGGTCATGCATAGGCGGTGTCAGGGCACCTATGTTGGGAGGTAAAACATAACCCCCCTTTTTGGACGCCTGGATCCGCCTATTATAGCAAAAACGTGTCAAAAGAGGATGCACAATAACTTTGTATATGTTATCACATGATACCTTTCATTCAATGTTCGTAAAACTGGTGTATTTAGTTATAATACATCAGCATCGTGATCTTCGCCCCAAATGACTCGCTTCACGAATAGGACCCCCCAATTCCCAGTGCTCTGGAGCCGCCCCTGGTAAAGGTATGAACTTGAAATTTTCAGGGAATGTGCCGGGTGCCCAGTTTAGTTTCAGGAAAAGTCAGAAAATTTCAGCATCGTAGCTTCAGCAGTTTCGGAGATATTCCCGAAAAACCTGAGGGGTGGATAAAAACAACCCCCCCCCCGCCACTAATAGGGTTAAGTCCAGCTGTCCTGTCCTGTGCGCCAGCCGCCAGGACTCAGCTCAGGGGTTAGCTGGGAGGGGGGGTGCCTGTCGCCCTTAATTCTGGTAATCACGCCTCGCCCACCATAAGAATTACAGAAAGATACTCCATAGAAAAACAGCAGTGAAATGACTTTTGTCGATCGAGTCGATTTCAAATTGTCCGATGCGAAGCACCGCGCTGGCGAAGCCTGCTGTGCTCCCCTGACATCTACAGGCTAAATTGGAAAACTCTAGTTGCTATTCCGCCCGGAGGGGCGTTGTCTGTGCCCGTTTGTGCGGTGTTCTGTTCAGTGCTCCTACTGAAATTGACTAAATAGGACGAGTCACGAGCTCCCGCGCTAAAAGTCTGAAATCTATCTGTTCTCCGAATGTGTCCGTTCTCTGTATTCTCAGGATTGGGCTTTATCCTTGATTGTTGATCCGTCCAAGCCATCCTCAGGACATGTTCATCTTTGTCCCCACTCACGCTCCCTCTCCGGGCTGGCGGTAACCCAACCCACCTGACAACCGGTGGATGAAGTCGGCTCCACACCGGACCTGTAATTCCTCTCCGGGGTGACCGTTTGGGAGGCGGGCGGACTGTCCCAATGGGGCAGTCCAGTCTGGCACCCAGACGGTCTCGCCTCCGCGGCTCACTGTCGGTGTCCCGCACAGCCCAATGTCTAGGTACGCCCTATCCTAGCATCCCATAGCTCTGCAATGGTCTTATATGGCCGAAAGAGCCTGCTCCCAGGAAAACATACAAACAAACAAAACAGAACATGATTATTGATAAATATTCCCTGTCTGGGACGACCCCGCGGGGTCACTCCACCCAGTCAACTCAACCGGAAGGCGGGGAGGCTGCTGCAATTGGAATGGATTGCACTGCCGGTTGGCCGTTTCATTCAGCGGCTGAGCCTGAATGGCCTGTCCCTTCGGGACTAGTGATGTAAATTACAGAAAATCGGAATACCGATACCAAACCAAATTCCAACCAAAACCATCAGTAAATACCGAAACCGAACCAACTTGAGAAGATGAGGAAAATACCAACTTTTTACCGAGTTTTCAACCTTGTATACATGCAAGGGTTCATAATACCAACAAAATACCAAAAGCAATCGGATTGAAATACCAAATACCAACTTGGTATCGGTTTGGTATCGGCATACCAAAAAGTTGGTATCCGATTGACATCACTAATCGGGACACTCCAAATGTTTTTTTTTTTTGTGCGTTGGGAAACCTATTGCAACCCCACTCCGCACTCGGCACTTATGTCTCAAAGGCGACGAAGATGGTTCCTACTCCGGTTTCTCTCACTCACTCTTCTGTCTCTCCCGCCACCCATCTTCCATCTCTCCCATCACCCTCTTGTCCCTCCCGCCACCCCCGTCTCCCTACCCACTGTCTCAAGCCCAAGCCTGAAACAGACTCTTTCCGCAGTCAGGAAATCGCATGCGAGAGCCTATTCAAATACATGGAAGCACGCTCGCATCAATCGCACGCACCTCCCGCAAGCGATTGATGCGAGAAGAATTACAATGTATTTGAATAGGCTCTCGCATGCGATTTCCTGAACGCGGAAAGAGTCTGTTTCAGCCTTCAGCGCCGGGGGAGGGGGAATGTCTCGGGCCGGGCGGGGAAGTGTCTTATCGGCCGGCGGGGAAGTGTCTCAGCGGCTGGCGGGGGAGTTTCTTATCAGCGGGCGGGAGTGTCTGAGCGGCGGCCGGGGGAGTGTCTTATCGGCAGGCGGGAGAGTGTCTTATCGGCGGGCGGGGGAGTGTCTTATCGGCGGGTGGGGAAGTGTTTCAGCGCCGGGCGGGGTAGTGTCTCGGGGCGGGCGGGGAGTGTCTTATCGCCGGGCGGGGGAGTGTCTCAGCGCCGGGCGGGAGTGTGTCTCAGCGGCGGGTGGGAGTGTCTTATCGGCGGGCGGGGGAGTGTCTTATTGGCGGGCGGGGAAGTGTCTCGGGGCGGGGGAGTGTCTCACCGGCAGGCGGGAGTGTCTTATCGGCGGGTGGGGAGTGTCTTATCGGCGGGCGGAGAGTGTCTTATTGGCGGACGGGGAGTGTCTTATCGGCGGGTGGGGAATGTCTTATTGGCGGGCGGGAGTGTCTTATCGGCGGGTGGGGAAGTGTCTCGGGGCGGGCGGGGGAGTGTCTCGGGGCGGGGAAGTATCTCGGGGCGGGTGAGGAAGTGTCTCGGGGCGGGTGGGGAAGTGTCCCGTGTCCCAGGGCGGGCGGGAAATGTCTCAGCGCCGGGCGGGGAAGTGTCTCAGCAGCGGGCGGGAGTGTCTCAGCGGCGGGCGGGGGAGTCCCCTGGCCGCCGATAAGACACTCGTCTCAGCGGCGGGTGGGGAGGTGTCTTATCGGCGGCGGTCTGTCGTCACCGAGCGACACAAACGGCGGTCAGTTCCGGACCGGTCGCGGTCGGAGCTCGGACCGACACCGACCGACGCCATCCATTACGCCCATTACGTCCATTACGTCCATTATGTCCATTATGAGGCGGCGCTCTTCCGTGTCTGGCCGATTCGGCGGTAGATAATGGCTGGTTATTGACAGCGCCTAAGCACGTGCGGCTAACAATCACTGTCTCCGCTGTTCCGGCGAGTTCCGGTCGTCCGTGTTCTTCCTTTGTCAGCCCCGAGGCGGTGGCACGGTACCGCTTCGGAAATGGATGGTCCATGAGACGCGATAGACGGACGAGGTGCGAAGCTACAATCACGCCGCCATGGAAAATATGGCATGACGCGCTTGACGTTAGTGCTTTTTATTCTCAGTAACAATACTGGCGTTCTTGGCGTTTATAATTTATTTTCATCTATCTTCATGGCTCGCGCCCCTAAGGTAGGTATACCTACGCATATCTGCAAATGAGCAGGATTACAGTAATGCAGCTTTTTATCCATTACCACAGTATTCGCACTCTGTACTCAATCGTAAACAAATAATAGGTAAAACAAAAATGTATTACAAAGCATGACTGTACAAATCAAGTCTCAACACGAACGCGACATGCTCCCAGACCCGGAAACAAGCATCTTGACTATCTGACACAATGACTATCGCAGCACCCCTGACTTCTGAGACATGTTGATTCATGAAAGACAATATCCGGTCCATACACCGTTGACAACAAAGCACATTTACAAACAGCTTTACACATTTGGTCAAACATTTGATAATATTTTACACATTTCCAGCGAAAGACAAAGTAGCTCGACTCTACCCGAGTCGGACCCGGGTACACATTTCAAGAGCCTGTCCAGTGGCGTCTCTTGTGGTTCTCTTCAGACCTCGGTCCACTTG